GCTTTGCATGGTTCACAGTTCAAAATCATCCTTGTGTATCCTCTCAGTTCATCTTCTATCAGAAACAAGCTGTTTTAATTCCTAATTTTAACTCTTTCACCTGTAAAAACATTTGAAAACCTTATCTGTACCATTAATGACACCTCAATATATAATATGTGGTGTGAGTAGCCTTAGTAAGCTATATAGGTGGCGATCAACCTCATTAACTTCTGATTCACACACAGCCCTTAAAATATGACAGAAAGCACTGAGTTCAAATAAGAAAAAACAAGTGTTTACCCATAGTAGGCATCCAAGGAGGAAAGAGTTAAGGCAGCTGTCCTCTGATTGGCCTTTCCTTCATTAACAGGCGGCCTGAAAAGCCGGCTGTGCCTTAGACGAACATATTGGGGATATTCCCTCTCTGACATCATAAATGTCCCTGTTGAGAGCAGCTTGAAGCCTGAGCTTTTGGCATATTCTTATTTAAAACTTTGACAATGTTTAATTTGAATCTAATAAAGTTTAATAAACGTCTGGAACAGGAACAGTGTATAAAAATATAAACATTTTAGCCATTTAATCCATTCTGATCTCATCTAAAAATGACAAAATAATCCATACAGTATTAGCCACTATTTTAGATATGCTCACAGACAGCAATGGTCCTGTGATGGACAAAAACTGTCTTGTTATAATAATGTCCTTTTGCTCACTCTATCAAACCAAGAGATAAAAGCTGCATGTTGTGACTGTGTAACACTTCTGTCTTCTCAGATAGTGGTGACCTTTTCTTGTAATTATGACATTAAGCACGAGGCCTCGCTTTCCTATTTTTGCCAGCAGTGAATGTAGTGCTATAGTGTACACCCTGACACATTACACATCAGTCTCTGTGGATGTGCTGTTATAATTATCTCTGCAGCTCTGTCACCAGGAGCTTTGGGGTCTTTGCTTGAGTGCTGTCTACAGCTTCATAGCCTCCATGTTGTTCTTGTTGATGAATTTAGGATTAATTTAAGAATATCTGCCTTTAAAGTCTTTGATGCACAATAAAGAAGATCTCAGGTTTGATCCTCACAGCTGGCAGACAGTGTGTCCTGTCCAAGTGTCCTTGAGTAAAATATTGAATGCTTGATTTTGCTTGATAGACATTAAGGAGCTCTGTGTTAGCATGCAGCACAGGCCAGCAGGGCCAAAACTGTGATATGATGTAGCAACTGTACCGCTTGTCTTAGTATGTGCAATAAGCAAAGTTTACCCCATACTTGGTGCTATTTTACATTATACATCAATCACTTAAGCTGTGGAATAAATTGTAAAGCTAGTCAAATAGCTTTTCTACTTATATGAATTATAGTTGGACTATACTGACAAGGAAGATATGGTTAGCTAGCTAGCTGTAATTTAGCTGTGATACAGGACTCTGGTGATGGTTGGTTGGTAATAGTGGCTGATAAAGCAAAAAGAAAATGGACTGCTAAGTTACCTGATCAGGCCTGAGTAACACCAAGGAAAACAGTGGGCTGGAGACCACTGCACAACCGTACACAGTGAACTTGCAACTATTTCAAAAGTTGCTTCAAAGATGGCGACCAAGATGGTAACCACTCGCAGTCAACCGCGTCTTCAAAGCGACTTCATCAAGATGGCAATAAAACATCAATAATAAACTGCAGCAAACTGGTGTAAATGGTGAATCATCTACATAAACATTGCATAGCCCGCCTCCCACAAGGCAATCCATGCAAGCACTGCAATCGAAAGTGGTTATCCAGAGGTTCCTGGTCTTCTGAAAACATTATGCACTATTTGTAATCTAGTGTGACTGAGCCATTAAGACAGTGCTTTGCTTCATGAAATTTGTCAGTGCATATGATGTTTGTTGTATGGAGCTGATTAGGACTGGACTTCATTTCCAAGCTACTTTTAGCTAATGAGGTGGTTGCTCTAGGTCAGGGGTGTCGAACTCCAGGCCTCGAGAGCCGGTGTCCTGCAGGTTTTATATGTCACAACACACCTGAATCACATGATTAGTTTATTACCAGGCTTCTGGAGAACTTCAACACATGTTAAGGAAGTAATTTGGCCATTTAAATCAGCTGTGTTGTGTCAAGGACGCATCTAAAACCTGCAGGACACCGGCCCTCGGGGCCTGGAGTTTGACACCTGTGCTCTAGGTCTTTCCAGTCTTGACATTTGCTGTATAGACATGAGATTGATGTAAATGTAAAAGGAAAGAGTTTTTTATCAGAATCTTGAAGATTTTCCTTAGAAGGAACAGCTTAAATGACTGTAGTAAATGAACAGTGGCCTCAAAGTTGACTCTGTGTAAATTTAAATAAAATCAGAAAACTGACTGCTCCACTTCTGGTATTTTTTTGTTTCATCATGCTGCAAATTCTTTGAAATGTGTGACAGGATGGGGCTGCAGGCAGATCCGTTAAGAACCTGTTTGCAACTCCTTCCAGCAGTCTAACCCATGTCACAAAGCTTCAAACTGGTTCAATCAACATGATGAGGAGTTCACTCAAATGCCCTCCAAAGTCACAAGATCTCAATTCAATATAACAAACAGGAGATTTGCATCATGAATGCAGTGTGATGCCGTCATTTCAATATGGGCCTAAATCTCTGAAGAAAGCAAAAGGTGATCCAACCCAGTACACAGAGAGTGTACCTAATAAAGTGTCTGGTGAGTGTATATTGTTGAACATTTTGTTTGCGTAATCTTTTAATTGTGGTGAACTCCTCTCAGGCTTCACTTTGACAGATTCAGTTTCTAAATATTTGACATCTCGGGTTTTGTGGAAACTCTTATTGGTGTGCACATAACTGTGTGACGGTGGTGGAAGTGTTAAATTCCAAATACGTGAAATGCACAAGCATAATAAAACATGTCAAAGCAGCAGTAGTGTCTTTTTTTCCCATTTGAAATTTCAGTTTTTATTTATTCAGGTTAAATTAGTAGTAATGGTAACATGGCCAGCGTCAGGTTAAATCCCCGTACAGGGACGTTAATAACTGAGCTCCCCTGAACAACAGGTACCTCCACAAACACGCAGCGATTCTACTGTAGCTTCCAGAAGTCCATCAGTGAGTCCACCAGGCACGCCTGCAATCCTGCCATAACAGCAGGAGGTCAGAGTCTGTGCAGGACAGCTTTCCTTAAACTCCCTGCTGAAATTAGGACAACAGCAATGAAACGTTCAGCAGCATCGCCCCTGGAGGAGAACTCTGTACATTTGCCTCCAATAAAGAGGGGTGGGTGGGTCAGGCCTCTCACTGGTGCTCCATCATGAATCACAGAAAATGAATACATAAATAAACATACTGTAGCTGGATTAGTTACACATCACACATGACCAGTAATTTATATAAATAATGTTCCATAACACTGATTGACCATGAATGCAGAGCAAAACAAAGATGTGCTTGACTGATTCTTAATCCACTAACGTGTGAATATTAGTGGATTAATTGCAGTCGGCGTTAATTAGCTTGTGCTGTTAAACCAAGTGAGGGAGGGTTAGTTTGCTTAAAGCGCCACAGACCCGATGTCCTCAATTTTCATATGTTTAATGAGACATTGTTTATTTTTCCACTGCAGTTTGTGGCATATTTCTCCCACTCATGTATCCGCTCTTCTTAAGTTTGAATATTTTCAATGAAGAGTGGAAAATACCCAGAACAAGAACTCAAACATCAAAAACAGAACATCCATAAAAGAAGGACTTCGCAGCTTAAATAAGACTAGGTGCATTCTAGGAAATGTAGTGAAAAAACTAAAAAGGACGCTTTCTTCCACACGTAACGGCCTCATAAACATGAAGCGAAAGTGTGATTGATTGCCCCACGGTAGCTGTTTTAGTTTGAAAACTCCAGAACAAGCCTCGCTGACCACAGCCGAAAAAAAGGAAGCCAATAGCAAAGATCCAAAAGCTGCATTACTAATGGCCACTTGAGCCACGCTCTAAATGCACCGCCAGTATGGCCAGTTACAGAAAACCAGCTTTGGTTTCTATAGCAGGTGAATTTTTTTTATTAATCTGATTGGATTTTAACTTATGGGTGCTGCAGCTGTGTCTTCAAAAACACCGCAAACTTTTAGCAGCTAATACTCGGGCTTCAATATGTGAAGACTAAAGCCAATGAATGACATCACCGTGGCCGTGTCCATCATTTATGTACAGTCCATGCTCCAGAAAAGCTACCAATCCCACCAACTGCTGCTTCAAAACAGGAAGTGTTGATGCATCATCTATCAGTTTATTCGCTTCGAAAAGAAAAAAAATGAAAAAAAATAGAGCCATTCATCAGCACTTGGGCTTTCTTAAAAATCTATTTTTTTTAAAGTATTCATTGCTTTTTGTTCATGTTGATTAAATGCTGTGTTAATGAATGGCTTTTCAATGACAATCATCCATCTCCCAGAGTGTACATCCTTTTCAAAATAAAAGACATTCAAGTTACAGAAGACAGAGAAAAGCAGGAAATACTGATTTTTTTCACATCTGATTTAAATGATCACTCTTAGTATTTTCAGATTGAGGAACTGCTGCTCAACCAAACACGCTCACTTGGTTTAACTGCATTAAATATCAAAATAACATTTAGACAGAAACATTAAACAGAAACAAGTTTAATAAAAACACTTAAATGCTTTCACACTTCCGCATGCCTGGCAGAACAACTGACGTCTTCTTTTCGCTTCTTCTTCACTGTCCTTCATGGCGATACCAAAGGGAGTTGCATGACGGCAGCAGAATGTACGGCCCTTCGGTCGGAGACGAGACAGGCTCACAGTGGGACAAACTTTATGTGTTTCCTCACATTAAATGCGGCGCAGATGAACAGTTCTTGTAGTGAATATGCTGTAACGGAGCACAGTCTGTAAAGGGTGGGGAAAAACGCAGAGGCGACAGGGGAGGAAGTCTACAGTCCAGCTACCAAATCACACTGAGATTTTCTACTTCTGCATTTGGTCAATGTCCTCCAGGGATTCAAACATCCGGGCCTGGACGAGACACGAAGATGCAGACTGGCGCCATGTTATAAATCCAGGAGAGGCAGTGAACCAAGTGCTCAGCTGAAGATGAAAGCCTACAGGATGGTGCAGAGGAGAGGGGTGGAGTGTTGGTACTGGGAGCAGTCTGACCCTTCTGCTGGACTTGGGGATGGAGCAGGAGACGTGGGGCTCTGTCTCTCAGCCCTCCATCCCAAAGTCCTCTGTGAACTTCTTGACTTTGAGAAGGTCTTCGGTGTTAACTGTGGGGCGGGTGGTGGACAGAGAGCGCAGCATGTCCGACTGCAAAGTAGGGACACGGACACACACACAGTTCATTATTGTTATTTCATTACTGTTATACTGCATATTTGAATTCTGTATATCACTGTGAGGTCCTTTCAATCCAACAGAAGCTTTCTTTATGCAGAAAAACTGTCCAACATATCCTTTATCCTTCTCTGCACACAGCCTAATCATCTCAGCCTCACCTCTCCAACTTTGTCTCCAAACTGCTCCATGAGCTGTCCTTATGATATTACTGGTTAACCCTTTAAGACCTACCATAGAACCAAGTCCGCCAGAGCTTATATTATATATTTACATGCTGTAGAGCCATTTTTGGGAGCATTTCAAGTTGCTATACATCAATACAACCATTA